AAAACCTGACTTCTTTGCAGAGATGACTTTAAAATCTATTGAGTTTGTTTCAAGATTATATGCTATGGTAACTTCTGAAGGTAATGGATGCCCTTCCGCAGTCAGTTGTTCTCTCACTACCGTTTGAAGCTTTGTATTAAAAACTTTCATGTCATCTCCTGTATCTAAGTTCACATACACAGCAACAGGGAAACTATCTTGCTTCTTTGTTTCATCATTATATCTCAAAACATTAAAGTTCTTCAATAATATTGTTCTTCCTGCTGAAATACTTCGAACCTGTCTGATTTCAATAGCTTTCTCACCTCCTACATACTCTACCCAGTGTCTTGGATATTCATAAGTATACTGACTTTCTTGAATTTTGGTTGGTTTCATCATAACGTGTTCATAGTATATCTTTATACTCTTGTCAGTTAGACTCGGTGCTATGTTCTGAATATTTCTGACTTGCATTTTTAATGGAGATAAAATGAAGCATTTAATACATGACGTAGATGAAGACATGAATGAAAGCAGTGAAAAGTTCAACAGTTCTCTCATTCTTCCTTTCAGTAAGGACTATGAGTTCTGTTCAAATGGTGTTTATTTCTATTGTGGAAAGATGGGGTCAGGTAAGACATTTAACCTCATTCGTCATATACTCATAACAGAGCGTTTAGGTCAAAATTCATATTATGACCAAATCATTATATCAGCAACTTCAGACTCTATGGACTCAACAGCGAAAACATTTATGTCAAAAGTTCAAGCCTCTGTCGTTAAAGTTCCAGATAGCGAACTCATTGAATTTCTTCAACGTTACATTCGACGTAAGAGGAAATATTATGCCATCGTTGAATTTATACAGTCAGGAATGCAAAAGACTTCTGAGGAGATGGAAAGAATTATTGACAAACACCACTTACGTCAATACTCAGGAGTTTACGATATGAAACGACTTACAAACTACATTCTGTCAAAACTTTCAAAATACCCCTTCAAAAAGTATCCTTCAAACACTTTATTAGTTTGTGATGATTTCGCCGGAAAAGGTTTAGTGTCAAAACCAGACTCACCATTAGCTAACATCATTACTAAAGTCAGACATTACCATTTAACTGTAGCAATACTTATGCAAACATGGAGGTTTTTAGCTTTAAACATAAAACGTCTCATAACTGACTTCGTTATCTTTCAAGGTTTCTCACGCTATGACATTGAACTCATTTGGAAACAGTCAGGTATAACATTACCTTTTGAAGAAATTTGGGAAGCATATAAGTCTCTCATCTCTCCTCGTTCATACCTTGAGATTCATATCATGACTAATACCATTAAAGTCAAAAATATTACATGGGAACGACCAACATTGTTTTAAAGTTTAACCTTCAATTGACTGATGGTAAACAAATTCCATGCATCTCTGTCGCCATTTCTGTTAATATTTTTGCTGTCATTCATATCATCCACTTCCCCATCCGTTAGCTTTTGAGGATATGCGTTAGAATAGCTGTTCTTAAATGAAGGCTTTTCACCTTTGAGAGCATAAACTCTATAACTTTCTGCATATTTTATGTTTGAACCTCCTGAGCCATCATTGACATAAATTTTTATAGGCTTCCACCCTTTGTTCATGTTCCTGCTTCTTCCCTTAGCTCTTTTGTTCAGTAGTTCTACATCTTTATACACAGCACCTGTCTCAGTGAATTCAACAATATTTTCATTCGTTAGCTTTACATTCAAACCCTTGTCGAGTATATTGTTCATTTCATACATATAAAAGGTTTTTATTCTATATGAAATGAGAAGCAAATCCATCTTAGCTGGTGCCGTTAATGTTCCAATTGAACCAACATCAAATGTTGACTCACGAACGACAAACAATATTGTCATAAAGAACTATAGTTCGGAGTGTTTGAAAGAAAAAGAACCAGACTTAAGTCGGGACCTTCGGTCTTGGAGCATGGCCGTGAATTTAAACACAGCTTCAAACGCTAACGCTACATCAGATGTTAAGTTAGAGTATCCACCACTGGACCAAATTCTTTCAAGAGAAGCCAACGACAATCCTTACACAAATGTTCAAACAAATCCTTCAGATAACGTAGACCATTACCTTCTTCAGTTATACCAAACAATTTTACTCAAAGACGATAAGAAGCTTTTGACAAATCTTATAAGTAAGAACCAAATAATTCTAACAAAGGAGGATTTAGAAAATGTTATATCACGAATAACAGGGAAACAATGTGTCATTGACTATCTCGACCCTGAAATCGAATGCTGTGGTCAAACGCCACTATTCATGAAAATAGGTAACATCCGCATCATTGAAACACCAGGAACTACAGGAGTTGAGTTTAAGTATAGATATTCGAATGAATATACAAAACTATCTACTGACTATAAACTTTGCTTGAAATATGTTTTAGTAAATTAAAGCAGTCAGGACCTTCGGTCTTGGCGCTTTGCGCCGTCAGTCAAAAAATTTCAAGTTAGCAATTTGTAATATCTATCCAAAACTTCTTCAACAGTATCGAACTCATCTTCATAATGCAAACCTAATCTTATTGACTTGGTGCAGTTTTCACTAACACAATATTTTTCTGTTCTCTTGACTGACATAACTAACTCATTTGTTTCATCAAACAGCAACAACCAAAGTTCATGACCTAATACATAACATTCATACTTTATATTTTTAGCTCTGAGTTCTCTTGTAAGCTGTTGCATTTAATATTTTCTAAAAAGTCAACTTCAACAGTCATTCGCACTGGTGCCTTCAGTTTTACAGGCTCTCCTTGAAAGTCAACAAGTCTGAATTGCATGTCTTTCAAATTATGAGGACTAATGCGAACCCATTTACCTAAATGAGTTGCTATGACAGGAACATTTGGAATGAACATTGAATTGACTGCATAACAGAAAGACTTATATTCTATTGAACCCTTACTATTAACTCCTGAAATACCTGTGACATTAGCTATTTTTGACTCAATGTATAAACAATTACCATAACATACGTATGGAACAGATTTCATCTCAATCGTTTTGTCAACACTTTTCAAAGGAAATGTCATATGGTATGCACCCAGAAGCAATTGAACTCTATGACTCATTCGTGTTATCTTAAACTCCTTCGCATAACTGAACTTCAAAACTCCTGCAATAAGTTTAACATTCATTAAGTTTTCTTCGTTATCCTTGTTTATTGTAGTATTTATGAGAGCATTTAACACTCCAGCTAATGTTTCCATCTTATATTCTACATTATTGTGAAATCTTATTTAGTGCTTCTTTCCATCTATTTCAATCTCCATGAAATCTGTTTCATCTGTTATAACGAATGAAGCGATAGTATTGAAGTCAACCATTCTGAATGCAAGCGCCTCATTCTGTAGACCTAAGTTTGTTTGTAGCTTTACTGTCCCGTATTCGTTTGGGTCTGTACTTTGCAAATAGAACAACATTTTATTCTCATTAAAATATGAGTATAGCTGCATATGCGTATGAAGCTGACAGAGCTAAACGTTTATATTTTGGTCAATACTCTCTCACACTTACTGACAAATATATTGTTATCACTGATGGAAATACGAGAAATACATAACATGGAAGGACTATGAAAAGTTTGACCCTATTTTAACTCCATGTACTATGCCGTTTATAAAGGACGGTGAAATTATTGAAAAAGATAATACAACCGTATATAGGTCTGTTTATGAAGCATTAGAATATATGTTGAATCATAATCCCGAAAGATTTGATCCAAGCACTACGTCATGTACTATGCCGTTTATAAAGGACGGTGAAATCGTAAGAGTTCCGGATTCAACGGTTTATACAGCTGTTCAAAACAGTTTACAAAACATTTTAGCGAATATCTTTAATTCAGAAACTACAGAAATAAAATTACCGTATATAACAGATGCTAAAGAAATTAAATCAAAAACAACAACATTATTTGCATCACTTAATGATTTAATGACTTATATCATTAATACTCCCCAGCCGACTACAGCATTTGATCCAAACTCAACGGTTTGCAGTGTACCTTTCATAAATGACAGTTCATTAATTACTTTAAGGGATTCGACAGTAAATGAATCATTAAAGGCTTCATTAATGAAAATCATTGATTTTAACTCATTCATGAATACATATAATTCATTCATTAATGTTTCATACACTTCTAAAGAAGGTGAGCCAAAAACTATTGATAAAGCGGTGTATGAAATAAAAGCATCAATGACGAAATTGAATTCGTTAACTTTTGACGGTGATAGTTCCGTTAACGGCATGACATCGGGGAAAACGATTTTAACGAAAGAATATTTAAAATCCATGTTAGTGAGTTCGTTGAAATTGAAAAAGAAGGCGGAATTAAGTTCGATCCACTGAGTTTCATTTTCAACTTAGCGAATGCGGGTATTAGTTTCGCTGAATGGACAACTATACAGAGTGAAATAAACGCAATATGGACGTTTTTGGGGTCAAAAGCTGGAATGGGTGAGCTTGTAAATGCTGCAAGAACATTAGGTGAAACGGGAAATTTTGTAGATGGTTTTAAAAGACTTGTTTCAAATGTTTTGACAAACACAAAGAAATTATTTAGATATACCGTACATAACGGACGGATTTTCGAACAGATAGCAACAAACCCTCCGGTTATGGCTGCGTTGATGATGGTTAGAGACATAAAACCACGTAGCGGTGAAGCCCATGAACAACAGGATACGGGTCGGGTTATTCGAGACATTAAAAACGTGTATCCTGAAGTTATTGATTTATTTAGAGGTGTTAATGATTCGATTTCAAATCATTCTATAACCCTCGATGAAGAGAATAAATTAACAGATTATATATTCGTCATTATTGCAGAATTAATGAAGAGAATAAATGAAAAAGGAATTGGTGATATCATTAATGTCAGCGATGTAATAATGAAAAGAAATTTTGACTCATTATTTACAAAACCGAAAACAGAATATAGTCTTTATGACGTAATTACCGAATTAATGAAAAAGATTAATGATAATAAGAGTTCTGGCGGAAGGTTTGAATTAGAAGTGAATGATGTTAATGAGAAATTAGCCGAAAAAGCAGACAAAAATGAGCTTTTAGCTCTGAGTGATAGAGTCAAGAACCATGTTCATTATATAACTTCAGATGAACAGATTATAACGGATTATCATGGATATTTAACACGGGATGAAGAAGTGAAGACGGAAGACCCTAATGAAAGAAGATATAAATACATTCGTGCTAAAGGTTATGACATAAGCTGTACTGTACATTATGACACGGGTAAAGCGCTAGAAGCATTTAGTTATAACGGTGAAATTTATGCCTCTACTTTCAATGTTAACGGTGTATTAGTTGAACCAAAATTTACGTTGAGAGTTACGGCAAAAATAACTTTTGAAGATGCTATTAAAAGTAAAGCTGACAAAGATGAACTTGAAGCAAGGAACAAAGTTTTGAAATCTCATAAACACAACATCTCCGATATAAATGAACTTCAAACTACATTAGACAGTAAAGCCGACAAGAACCATACACATAAATCCTTCACTACTGTTAGAGCAGACGACATAATACTGAACTATACCCTCGGTTCAAGTGCACCTTCAGAGAATCCGAGTACAAGCGTAAAATATACACTTAACAATTTAGATAACTATTGCAGGAACATTGATCAATATGCCAGAAACTTTGAAGCATACACACTACCAACGATGTTGGACAAGAAAGCCGACAAGAACCATACACATGAAGAATTTCAAACAATCAAGATTAAAGAAATTAAGGCATGCATCGAAATAGTAACAAAAACAGGAAGAAACGGTGCAACTGTACAAGAACAAAGAATTTATCCTCCTACTTTTCCTAATGGTTTAATAACAAACAATATAAATATTGTAGAAGGCAATAAAGCTATAAACGTTAAACATGAACTTCTAACAATGAAGGCCCAGATTCTTCAAACCATATATCCTGTTGGTTCTATTTATACGTCAATGAATTCAACAAATCCAGCAACAGTTTTAGGTTTTGGTACGTGGAAGCAGATTGTAGATAAATTCTTATACTGTGCTAAATATTCAAAGCAAACAGGAGGTTCGAAGAAAATTAAAGAAGCAAACTTACCTGCGCACACTCATACAGGAACGACAAACTTTTCTGGCGACCATAGCCACTCATTAAGAGACCACCCATTATACAACTCAGAGTATGAAGCTGGCAATGACGTTTTATCTCCATCTTATAACAATTCAGCAAAAAAGATTTTTCGACCAACTGAACCGGGAGGTAATCATTCACACACTTTCACAACAAATCCAACAGGCTCGGGTGCAGATTATATGCCACCATTTGTGACTATATTTGCATAGTACCGCGTTCAATGAACGCGCTTGAGCCTAGAATAAAATCTTTAACTTTACATAAATGAGCTTGAAAGAAGTATTCGAACAACATCCATGGAGGTCATTTAAGAAGTTCAATGAAGCTGCAAAGAGTTGGGGATTTACTAACAGAGCTGAAGTGAAAAGGTTCTTTGACAAAAATGTTGTACATCAAACAAAAATAAACCCTTACGACTACTTTTTACCAATTTACTCCAACACTCCTGACGCATACCAATTTGACACTCTCGTTCAGAGTAAGAAAGGAAGAAAGCCACTATTCCTCATCTTCATTAATGTTAACACTCGCAAAGCATATGCATATCCAATGAAAAATAAAGGAACTCGTGAAGTTTTTAGAGTTTTGCAGACGTTCGTGGCAGAACATCATCCCACTTCATTAACTTCAGACCAAGACGGTGCATACCTCAGCAATGAAATCACAGATTTTCTCATTAAGCATAACATAACTCACTACACTACTGAAGACCATAACCATAACATACTCGGCATCATAAACCGCTTCATAAGAACGCTCAGAGATTTAAATCAAGAGCGAGACTTTACCGAAGAAACAATGAAACATTTTCTCGAAGTATATAATTCCTCAACACATTCTACAACAGGACATACACCAAATTCAATGACACAACAACAAGAAGAAAAGTATATACAAAAGAAACGAAGCCAAACACAAAATATCAGAAATTCAACACAATTTACCCTCATTCCTGGTACAAAAGTTCGTGTAGTTCTTGACGACAAACCGTTGACAAAGAAACGTTTAAGGTTAAGTCGAAATTATTATATTGTAGACTCTACGCAAGGTAATGGATATCTTATAAAAGCTGCTGACGACTCCATTGCATTTTACCCTCGACATAAATTAGTCGAAAGTAGTAATGGCAAACTTGCTGAAACCATTGACGAAGCAAAGCGAGGAGTGGTTATTGAAATACTTGGCTACAACATAAACGATGACACTTATAAAGTAAGATATGAAGGAGGCGTTGAAGATGTTATACCATCTAAGAACTTGAGAGAGTCGAAGCCAACACATCTGGGACCATTAGAGCGGGAGTACTGGAAAGACAAAAATATGCCAGAAAGAATAAGAAAATTCTTCTAAACTTTTTCAATAGATGTAAATCAGACATGAATGAGAACAGTCATGATATCATTAATGGTACCATTTATTTACACCAAAAATAATGTTTAGGTGAAGAGGTGAGATCTCACCCGTTTTCTCACCTGTTTTCTCACCCTCGCCGCTTAGCGGCTCAGACCCTTTGGGTCTCGTGAATTTTCATGAATTTCCTTAAGATAGAAAAAATAAAGTTAGTTTTATTTTTATTTATTTTTTTATTTTGTATAAAAGATATGATTTCAACAATCGGCACAACAACAATTCAAGCTGCGAACGGCAGGACTCTGTCCACAACAGCACCAAACTCGTTAGTTATGAATCCTACGTCAATGTTAGTAGAAATGAAAAACTTCATTCCTTCTTCATATACTTTCGAAACAAAAATCCAGAAGATAAAGCAAGAACTGTTAACAAGTAATTTAGACTGTACCGCACAGGATGAAGAAAATGAAGAATATCTTTATGACATGCAGGACATTATTGACCATTTACCCAAATTGCCTGAAATCCAACAACAAAAGCTCACTATTCATGAATTTGACGAAATAGAAGTCAAAGCAACTGACTCGGTCGAAATAAAGAAGTTCATACGAAAGGTAAACTATGAGTTTCTAGGATATCATTGCAACCATAAAGTTATGGACAAAGATTGCGACATGGTTTATAAGAACATCTCTGACATATATAAATCCGAAGAATTTAAGACATACGATAACTTTGTTACATTAGTTGCAAGATGTGTATGGCAGATAAGAGATGAAGATAGCAGAGGCAACGTATGGAACGAACAAATAAGACCCGCTATGTTTGAGATGAAGAGAGCAATTGACGCCTTAGTTGTTCTAGCTGGTTTTATTTCAATGTATAACGCAAAAATGAATCCGCAATGTTCAAAATGTAAAGCAGCAATGAGGAAATATAACTACTCAGTCAAAGAGATAGAAAGAATGCGAAACGACTATGCAGACTTAAAGAAAGAAGCAGAAAAGCCAGCAGAAGATAAAATGGATATGTTGACATTTCTTAATAAAAACTATCCAACAGCAGAAGATTTCCTTCTGTCTGACGTCAAGAAGAAATATAAAGAGACTTTCGGCATGATTAAAACATTCAATGTACTAAAAGAAGAAATAGAAGCTACGAAATTGTTTAGGATTTCAAATATACATCGTACAATTCATGTAAAACGCTTGTGAAAAAACAGGTGAGAAAACAGGTGAGAAAACAGGTGAGAAAACGGGTGAGATCTCACCTCTTCACCTAAACATTATTTTTGCTGAAAAATGACCAAATTTCATGAATTTTCATAAAAGATAAAAATAAAGTTAGTTTTATTTTTATTTATTTTTTTATCTTGTATGTAAAGACAGTAATGTCAAACATTGAGTTTGAAACAGTTAGAAAGATTGACAATGACACCAAAGTGGTTAGAATTGGTGATTTAAACGTAAGATACTGTAAGAAATACAACAAATATTCTTTGTCAGACATTATAACACCATCTGGAAAGAAAACAAAGGACTGGGTTAGAATTGCTTCTACTCAGAAAATTTTGACAAGAAATCCTGAGCTTATGATATCAGTAAGATTCTATGGAACTACAGCATATCTCATTGACAAAAGTCTTATACCAATAATTCTTCTATGGATTGACCCAGTTGTTGGATATAACTTCATAACTTATGGTTCATTCGATACGGAACGTTGCAGTGAAGGCTTACTTAACATCGTTCAGAAACCGAAGGACTTCAATACAAAGAGATATAAGATAGGAAGAACATATAATATAACTCAAAGATATGACTCTACCGTCAATAGAGTCAAGGTTGTGTTCGTTAATGATATGAGAGCTGCAGAAACAGAACTACTTGAAAAGTTTGAGAAAATGTATGGTGCTCCCATGAAAGGTAAAGAAACGTTTGAAGTAGATGAGATAGATAAAGCTATAAAATTATTTGACGAAGTTGCTGAAAAATACATGTAAAGCGTTTATTTTTGGTCTTTTGTGAAAGTCAGAAAATAACGCTAATTTTTTCTAACAAAATTTTTTATCTTGTATGTAAGAACAGCAATGACAACAACTGCTATCGTTCATGAAGCCATTAAAGAAGAATATGAATACATACAGTATAACAAACAATTGAGACTCATTCGTTCAGTCAAAGATGACATGTACCAAATGCAGAGTATTTTGACAGCATGTTTTGCTCCAGAGAATAAAACACCAAATGAATGGTTTGAATTAAATAGCACTCATGAACTCCTCAGTGAGTTTGAACATGTAGAACTTAAAAAGATGTACCAAGACAGACAAAACTTACCATCACATCTAAAAGATATGTTCATAAGTTCCTAGTTAGTTCAATAGCAATGTGGGCTTCACCTCGTTATGCAATCTACATACTTATGCTACTTGACGAACTTTGTACAAAGCAGAGAGAAGATATGATGAAAGAAGACAAAAGCATACAGAAAAGAATACCGCGTTCAGTACCAAAAGGAAAGGAAAAGAGTTATAAGTATATGATTTACACTGAAGAGATGGAGAAAGAAGAAGATAAAGATATGGTTATGTTACATTTAGTCAGAAGAAACAACAAGAGCTTTTATGACCTCGCTAAAATATATAAATCTGACAGAAACTGGTTCTATCGTGAAAACTTACCGATTTCAATGACACCGAATGAGCAAATAAAAGAAATTGTCAAAAATACTCTTCCTCAAACACACTATGACATCAAAGGTTGCACAATACTTACATTCAAAGAAGACTTAACATTACTGAAGGAAAAAATAACAGAATATTTCGATAACTTCAAAGAGGAAGAATGAAAAAAATCTCGTCGGGTGCCACTTTAGGGCCATAGTGGAGAAAACCATGATAAAAACAAAACCCTTCGTCATTATTTTGTTTTTACCATTTAATTGTTTCCATAAACGCTCCATGTCGAACATAATTGACGAAGAGAGAATCGTCTGATCGTCAAGTTTATTTTGTTTTTACCATTTAATTGTTTCCATAAACGCTCCATGTCGATCATAATCGACGAAGAGAGAATCGTCTGATCGTCAATTATGTTCGACACTGATAACATTAACGATAACATAAACGATAACATAAACGATAACATTAACGATAACATTAACGATAACATAAACGATAACATTAACGATAACATAAACGATAACATTAACGATAACATAAATGCTCCATGTCAATTATGTTCGACACTGATAACATTAACGATAACATAAACGATAACATTAACGATAACATTAACGATAACATAAACGATAACATTAACGATAACATAAACGATAACATTAACGATAACATAAATGCTCCATGTCAATTATGTTCGACACTGATAACATTAACGATAACATTAACGATAACATAAATGCTCCATGTCAATTATGTTCGACACTGATAACATTAACGATAACATAAACGATAACATTAACGATAACATTAACGATAACATAAACGATAACATAAATGCTCCATGTCAATTATGTTCGACACTGATAACATTAACGATAACATTAACGATAACATTCATTTTTGCATTAATCCTGCTGTGTTGTCAAAATGTCATGTTGTCATCATTTTTAAGAGAAGTTAATTAACCTGGTGACACATAGTGACGTGGTGACACCATCAGTTATTCAAAAATAAATTTTCTTATAAAGCTTCAGGGTCTATTTCTTCAACCATTTCACTTCCTTCGTCAATGTCAATAGAAGCTTCTTCAACCTTTGGTAAGAATTTCTGTATAACATCTTTGTTCGTTATTGTCTTCAGAGATGAAGGATAATATTTCACAGATGTTTCACCCTTCTTATATTCTTTCTGTTCGGAAAGATTCATAGCAATACTGAAGAAGTCAACGTTAGAGTTCTTTATGACAGTATAATGAGTATCTTTGACATTCACGAAGAAACTCTTTTGTTTCAAAACTACTGCTAACTCTTGTGAAGTATAACGTTTGCGGTCAATGACGATAGTTAATAGTCTGACATACTGACCAAACTTAGATTCTTTCACAAACTTCTTGTTAAAGATAACATTAACATTTGAAGCATTATTGAACTCATTCTTGATGGCAGTAGCGAGAGCATTGTATGAAAAGAACTTGCAATCTTGCATGTGTTTCATTAAAATAAAAATATTAAATTATTTTGAAAAATAACTTAAAAAATCTAATCTAATTTTTTCAAAAAATATTTTTTTATTTCCTACTAAAGATGTATCGGAAGTTGTCTAAGTTAGAACACTCGGAAATAAAACAACTTCTTACAGAAGCTAATATAGATGTTGCAAAGCATTACGCAACAAACAAAAAAGCACTTGCTGACTTCATTAAAGACTATAATGGTGCAATAAGTTATGATATAATTCATGAGTTCATAAAGCCGCAACGCGGCGAGGACGAAGTCCATGCAAGAGCATTTCCTTTAAATGACGTTGCTATTGACTTATATCATAGACGTTTAGTACCTCATGAAGTAAGAAGAGAAATGTTTGACATAACAAATGCAAACGTTGGTGAAACAAGAAGAAGAGACGACACACTGAAACAACAGAGAAGAGAGATGTTTAAAAGTGCTATAGATCAAGTTCGCAAAGCTAACGATGTCATTCGTTCCATTGACGACAAACCAAAAGAAGGTGAGAGATGGTTAAAGAAAGATGAAGAGAATAGGAAGAGGAATGTTAAGACAGGCAATAGACTCATTGACTTTAACATCGAAGCTTTAGATGAACCAAACAGAGACTACTTACACAAACATTTCGGTAAGGTTTTCATGAGACTCTTAGAGAAGATTAAAATAAACTCCCAACAAAGATGGATGGTATGTTATAAACTTGGTGGAAAGTATGAATGTTCTACGTTAAACCTCAATAATATTGGAACATTACTACATCAGCTCTTGAAGGAGAACTTTATATCAGAGATAGAAGCAAATGCTGCAGGTATTGTTGAAATGCACTATGACTTCTTCTTGACAAACATAAAGAATCTTACTGAAATAAAGATGTATGATTTAACAGAATATGAAGGCTTAACGATGTCAGATGTAAAGAAAGGCAAACCAAAAAAGAGACCATATAGAGATGAAAGCACACTGACAAATGACCAGAAAGCCATTTTGGAAGCTCTTAAGCAAACAGGAAACCCAGCACTTATAGAAAGCTTTTGGAAAGATAATGGTGAAAAGAAGTTTTATAAGAAGAGAAGCGGTCAGTTCTGGAAGTATCTTTGCACATTACCTATAAATCTTGAACGCTACCAAATCTTCAATGAACTGAACAAAAGAACTGCACACTTATGACAGAAGACAATTGTTTCGTTTATGCTTGCATTCAGGCTGGAGTAAATGGAAGAACTATTGACCACATGAGAGAAGTCATTCGTGTTAGAGACTTTCCTCAAAGTAAAGTACAAGAAATTTCTGACGCAACAGGTATAGCATTTAATGTTACCATTGGTTACTTCAATGACTCAAGACATAATGAAATAAAGAGATACATACCAAAAGAATGTGAAACTGTTCGAACTATTGACTTACTTCTTGTTGAAGACCACTACATGCTAAATGAAAGATTACCAATGACAACATATTTCATTCGCAACTATATAGAAATCTTGAAGGAGTGTGGTGGAATGAACATTGAGAAACAGATGAAGATTTATACAAAGAGAGAGAACAAATATGTAGTTCGTTATGATAGAACAACACCGTTATGGGATGTTATGAAAACATTGTGGGAGTGCAAATATTTCGAACCTATTTCTTATGGAGAACTTTTCACATATACGACTGACTTATATAAACAGAACCTTGCACCATTTAAAGATTTGACATATGCTCCAAAGTATTGTGTACAACTGAAGAAGAAAGCCGAGTCAAAAGAAGTAAATAAAAATAAGTGTAAGTTCATTCCTGAGCACGTTTTCTTTGCTGACTTTGAGTGTAGCACTGATGGAGTTCATAAAGCCTTTAACATATGTTACGACAGTGAAGATGGTTCTGTGAGTGAAAGCATATGGGGTCAAAACTGTGCAACAGAATTTTTGGAACGACTTCCTGACAAGAGTTTAATATATTTCCATAACCTCAGTTATGATATAAACTTCATCTTAAGACACATGACAGAAGTGAAAGGAACTCCCATCATTAAAGGTTCACGAACAATGCAGATAACTGGCTTATATAAAGGAAGGGCAATTATTATAAAAGATTCATACACTGTTATAAATAAGAAGCTTAAACTATTTCCTGAAATGTTTCATTTGCAGTGTGGTGAAAAGGAAGTATTTCCGTATCAATATTATTCAAGCTCTTTGTTAGCAAATGACAACAGAACTGGTGTCATTTCTGAAGCGTGTAAGTTTGTAAAAGATATTGATACGTTCATGAAAAACATAGATTCCATCAAAGGTTGCAGAATAGATGAAAACTACTTCGACTTAGAAAAGTATAGCACATTTTATTGCAAACAAGATGTAAGAATTTTAAGAGAAGGTTTTGTTAAGTTCCGCAATGACATATTAAAAGAATTTGATTTAAACGTTTATGATTACGTTAGAATTTGTTCAATTGCTAACAAATTATTTGAGAACAGAGTGTACTTCCCGAATGGAAATTTATATGACCTCTCAAATAAACCAAGAGAATTTATTTCGCTGTATTCAAGGTGGAAGATGTATGCTGTCAGATAACATGAAACAAAAGAGCGAAAAGAAACTCATTGCTGATTTCGACGCTGTTTCATTATATCCATCAGCTATAGCAAGACTTTATACTTTAGAAGGTATTCCAAAGGTTATGAAGAAAGAAATGTTAAGCACAGAGTATCTCATGAGACATTTATTCGATGACGACCAAAAGGAACCCATTGGTGAAAAGTTTATGTCTGGCTTCTTTGTTCTCATTAAGATAACAGAGATTGGAATACATAGACACTTTCCTTTAATAGTTTGTGACCCTGAACTAAATCCAGAACTTAACGTTCCCAGAAGTTCAAACACTTGCTGTTTAATGTATGTTGACCATATAACATTACAAGACCTCATAAAATATCAAGGTGTCAAATGTGAAGTGTTGCAAGGATACTATTACGATGGAAACAGAGATATTAGAATAAGAGATGAAGTAAAGAAGTTGTTTGAGTTAAGGTTAAAGTATAAGAAAGAAGGAAATCCTTTGCAAGAAAATATAAAGCTCATTCTGAACAGTATTTATGGCAAAACTATTCTATCTCCTATTGAGTCAAAAATAACCATAGTAAATGACAAAGATGCTATAAGATATGCCATCAGAAACTACAACCATATAGTGAAGTTCGAAGGTTTGGATGGTTCAGATAAAACTATTTTCAAGCTAACGAAAAGCATTTGCAGACACTTTAACTTCTGTCCACTTGGTGTTAACATTCTGTCTATGTCGAAGAGAATAATGTGTGAAGTATTCTGTACTGCTGAAGATATGGGACTTCAAATATTTTACCAGGACTGTGATAGCATGCATATTTTCAATGAAGACATACCAAAGCTTGCAGCAGAGTTTAAGAAGAGATACGGTCGCGAACTTATAGGAAAGAACCTTGGTCAATTTCATTCTGACTTCGCAGAAATAACACCTGGAAAACAAAGTTTAGCATACAAGTCAATATTTTGTGGAAAGAAGACTTACATAGACTTACTCACGAATGATTTAAATGAAGTTGCATTCCATGCACGTTGCAAAGGTGTCAAACAAGACGTCCTTGCTTTAACAGCAAATGAAATGTTTCCTGAAGCTATACAATGCTATTACAATGAAGATAAGAACATTCACATACCTGTTGGAACATATGACAAAGACTCTGAGTTCAGTTTAATGAAACTTTACAAAGCACTTCATGATGGTCAAGAGATTGGATTTGACTTATGTAAGTCATGTCAACCTTGCTTTGCTGAAAAGTTTAACTTCTCAATAACGACTAAAACAAGCTTTATTCGTAAGTTGAAGTTCTGAGGTCATTTATTTTTGTCAGCAATGAGGTCATTCGTGATAAAAATAAGCCGCTAGCGGCAAGGCGAAGCCCATGTGGTCATTTACAATACTGCGATGGTAGAGTTTAAGAGTTTGTGCTTCAATGTAGAGACAGTCCTTATGGTCTGGAGGTAAGAACACTGGGCAGTTATGGTCATGAGTGGAGAACATGTCTATCCAAAACTCACGATTGAAGCCAGTTAATTTATAGTATTTAGGGTTAGGAAGTGGTGAAGTTCTTGTATGACCAATGAACTCATTTTCAACTCCCTTACTTAAGTTTGAATATAATATAGCTTGCTTTCTATCCCAAATGGGTGTTACAATCTTTGAAAATTCATTTTTCCTCGGAAGCATTGCATCATAATTGAAAACATTTTGAAATCATCACTTGGTTCAGAGATTTGAAATCTTATACGTAATGGATTTTCTTTCTTTTTAGCTACTTCATTGAATGGTGAATATATAACAAACTGACAGTCATGAGTTCCATCTTCATTTTCATTAAATTCATAATGAAAGTCTATAAGTTGTGGCTGACTACCTTCTTCTTTCAGTTGTGCAAGAAACTCACGTAAAGGCTGTAAAGTTTGTACTTCAATGTTGAACTTTTTCTCGAACATCTCATTAAATGAAGTCATACATTGTTGCAATGTTGTATCGTCTTTAAAGTATTTGTATATGTGAATGTTTTGGGCGCTTAAAGACTGTTCGTCATTTTCTATCTCGACTTGAAGTATAAAGTCAACCTTTCTGAAAGCACGTGTTATATACATATGTTATGCCAATGTACTTCTCTTCATTTATGTTCACAATGCAGTCTGTTGGAAACTTAAACGTTACTCTGTTCCCCTTTATTTTGACGTCAGGGTTTTCACTACTGAACGCAACAGATAAAGGTATTTGTCTATACATTTAGTTCGATAAAAATAAACCATTTACTCTTTCTTTGCTTCAGCTTCTTTAGATTTTGCTTCAGCTTCTTCTCTAGCTTTCTTCGCCAGCAAACGTGGGTTCTTCTGTCTTCCAGCAGCTAATGCAGCAAGTTGTTTTTCACTAAGTTTTCTCTTTGGTCTCTCTGGCTTTTGTTCTTGTTTTTGTTCCTTCAGTTCGGATAAAATTTGCTCACGAATTTCTTTCTTCAATGCTTCAACATCTATGACCCCTTGGGTCTTGTCCGTAGGGCTTGTCTGAGTCATTTGACTGCAGATAAAAAACAAAATTAAAACTTTAACCGATGTAAAATGAGCTTGTCAAAATCAGAGCGAGAGTCTATTATATTAAATGACGCAAGAGGAATACAACATCCTTTCTATTACGTAAGTCAGAGTAAAGATGGTAAAATATACGTAAGAAAAAGAAAGGTTCCATTAGCGAATGCAGAAAGCGACAACATTAAGGTGCATGGCAAGGGTGAAGTCCACGAAGCCCATGTTAAGCCTTCTATTCAAACTGAGCCACCAAAAGAACAAGAAGAAAAGAAGCCAGATGTACTTTCAATAACGAACCAAGAGCTTATTGCAAAGTTCGTGAATTTCATTGAAAAACAAACCGAGTCAAAGAATCCTGACCCGCCAGTGAAAGAAGTTGAGACAAAAGAGAATGTACAGTTCATTGAAAATGTCAAGAAACAACTTCCACCACGAATGCCAAGAAGAAGAGTGAGAATAATGAAGTAAATAGATATTTTTATCTGAAGTAAATACATGCAGAACGAACAGTTAAACGAATTTACTCCAGCAGAGCATATTCATCAGATTCGCTCATATTTCGATATCATAGACAATGCAGTTCAAATTGGTGACACTAATAGAAAATATTCTGACGCAAAGATTCCATCACAACCTGGAACTGCTAAAGATAACACATGGGTAACATTCAATCTCTCACCTCCTGGTGAAAATATGTTGGACCTTTACAATACATTCATTACGTATAAAATGGAAGGTCAATTTATTGTAGATAAAGAAATTGGTTCAGGTTCCAATAAAACAAACCCACCAGGATTTTGGATTGGTTTCGATGACGCTTTCTATGCAGTTGCTGGATATCAAATCCTTGCAAATGGTCGTATCGTATATTCTCAAGACAACGCAAGAGAAGAAGCATATATAACTTCAAACTCACAAACTACCGAACAAATAAAGAAAGTAGATGTTTTCTCAAAGACTCGACATGAAGATGTATGGAGTCATTCGGGAACATGCAGAACAGGACAAATTGTTAGTGGTCCAATTACAGCAGGAAAATCATTTGATTTTAAGCTTCGTTTAAGAATTCCTGTTAGAAGATTCCTTCCATTAGAAGCTATTCGATTTATTCCAGCTTTTGCAGGAAACATTCAGCTTAAAGTAAAGTTCAGTAGCGACGCCTTACAATGCACATCTATATCTGTAAATGATATCATTGCTTTCAATCCAACTCTTAAAGTTGCATTTGCTTCAGATTCAAATCCACCGACAAATAAATTTGTTCCATGGAATGAACCATTCACTATGATAACGAAGGCAGTAGAAGCTAGTGGAACAGTTACTATTACAACTGTAACCCAGCAACTATTTCGAACAAAGATGGATTTTAATGAATGTTTCATTCATCCAAAGTCATTCTCTTTAGACCCTAACATTTATACAGAACTTGTAGAACATTATACAAACGAGGCTTTATGTTTTCCTGTTAAAGTTATGGATTGGATTCCTATGGACGGTTCATTCTCAAAGAATACAGATAGTTCAAGTGCAACATTTACAGCAGCTTATACGCCTATTAATGTTAAAAGTATTTGGGCACTATTTAGAAAGAAAGACAACTATTATGTTAATTTTGAGAACCCTAAGTTTAAATATCTTCAGCTTTCCATGGGAGCTTATGGAAATATGCCTGCAGAACCTGAAAAATCATATGGACCTGTATTTTATGAAATGGTTGCGAACGCTTGCAATACAAACAATGATATGATAGGATTTAATGAAGATGTTATGAGGTCATTGGTGGATGATGGTAGTGTGGAACATAAATGGATAGCTATGACAACACACATTTCTTATGTGGTTTTCCAACAGAAGTGGACTTTTGCTTCCAGCAAGGTCAAACATCTACTGCTCCAATAACATACAAATTGTCTGTTAAAGGACCTATTGAACTAGCAACTGAAAATGTACCAAAGCCACTTATTGGATTTATGAGGGATTGTTGCTTTGCCATTCAGGTGCGTGCTAATGGCATCCCATAATAAGATTAGATGACTATAACTTAGCTACGGACGACAGTGAGGAATAAAGGATGAACGTTTATTTTTAAAGCTTATAAATGAGTTCTTCATCAAGCTCTCGTGAACCTTCACCATCTATGAAACAAACTTTACCAAACGATTATGGAGCACCTATTGAATATTTCTTACGAGCTGCACAATGGCAAAGAGCAGTCTCACCAAGGTTAGGTGTTCCACCAGCTCCTGTCAAAAATAGCATTTGGTCAAGTCCTTATATAAAATATGGTCTCCCACTAGGTTTGCTAGCTACAGCAGGAGCAGTTATGATGTTGAAAAGAAATAAAGCAAATGTTGTAAATAATACTGAAGTAGCTGAAGTTAAACAAACTCCAACACCTTCACAAGCAAAACCTTCAATGACTCCTGAACCTATGGAAGTACAAACTCCTGTTCAAAAGTCAACTCCTAAACCGACTCCAACATTTAAACCAGAACCTACTCCTCAAATAAATCGTAAAACTCCTGCGTTTCCTTACTGAAAAAATAACGTTATTTTTATTTAATATTAAAATTTTTATTTGATTGAAATGACAAATAAAGTCACTGAAGCAATGAAACAAAAGTTTTTGGTAGAATACATTAAATCAGGAACTATTCCAGAAGGTTTTTACATTCATACTATGAAGGATGGTAGAGTTCAGTTTAGAAAGATAAAGCAACCATTAGATAAAGAAGGAATTTTGAGAAAGATTAAACTTCATGAGGACAACATTGCTGAACTTAAGAAGAAGTTAGAAGAGTTGGAGAAAGGAAGAGAGTTATAAAGCAATGAATTCAACAGGGTGAAAAACCGGGTGAAAAAAGAGGTGAGATTTCACCACTTCACCTAAATTTATTTTTGTGCTATGTTTTCATACGTGTGAGGGTGGTGATATCATTAATTTTTATATAAATGTGGGAACAAAAATAAAGCATATCTACTCAACAGGAATGAGACCCTTACTGACTATGTATTCGTTTAATGCTTGATGAAAACAATGGTACATATTATCGTATGGGTATACACAATGTCTGTTTCCATCGTCGTCGTATATGTAGAGCTCAAATCCAGTCCAACCTTCTTTTGTACAATATGTAGCTTTATTTAAGTATGCATTTATGTAGATAAGGCAATTTTCTTCATCGCTCCAGAAATAATTTTTCGTCATTGTTGAAATAGTTTTCGTTCCTCTGCGACCATAAGGAATGTATGCAATGAACTTTGCGTCATAATGGATTGTAATATATTCAGGGTTTCTTTCATCGTCAATGGGTCTGTCTTTGTTAAAATGCATGTTTCTCAGTTTTACTTGAGTTTTGAATAGTTCACGGAAACGTTCTGGGAAAGAGTCATAGTAAATGTAGTCGGACATGTCTTTGTAATGAAATAAAAAATTTAAAAAAATAAAAATAAGGTTATTTTTTATTTAGTGAGGATGGTAGTGAATTCGTTAGTGAAGTCATTAGTGAAGTCATTAGTGAAGTCGTTTATGTGTCAGATGGTTTTGTAAATATTTAAGGTTAAGTTGGTGTTATGGTTGTGTTGTAAAATATTGTCACTCAAATCGTCAGTCATATTGTCACTCAAACTGTCAGTCATTCACTCACTCAAATCAACAGTCATATTGTCACCCAAACCACAGTCATATTGTCACTCAAACTGTCAGTAATATTCTAATTAAACCGTCAGTCATATTGTCAGTCAAACTGTAAGTCATACACTCACTCAAATCAACAATCATATTGTCACTCAAACTATCAGTCTTATTCTCACTAAAACCGTCAGTCATATTGTCACTCAAACTATCAGTCATATTGTCACTCAAACTGTCAGTCATTCACTCACTCAAATCAACAGTCATATTGTCACACAAACTGTCAGTCTTATTCTCACTAAAACCATCAGTCATACACTCTCTTAAACTATGAATCATATTGTCAGTCAAACTGTAAGTCATACACTCACTCAAATCAACAATCATATTGTCACTCAAACTATCAGTCTTATTCTCACTAAAACCGTCAGTCATATTGTCACTCAAACTATCAGTCTTATTCTCACTAAAACCATCAGTCATACACTCTCTTAAACTATGAGTCATATTGTCACCCAAACTCTCAATCATACACTCACTCAAATCAACAGTCATAGTGTCTGTCAAACCACAGTCATATTGTCACTCAAACTGTCAGTAATATTCTAATTAAAGTCGTCAGTCATATTGTCAGTCAAACTGTAAGTCATACACTCACTCAAATCAACAGTCATATTGTCACACAAACTGTCAGTCTTATTCTCACTAAAACCATCAGTCATACACTCTCTTAAACTATGAGTCATATTGTCACCCAAACTCTCAGTTATATTCTAAATAAAACCGTAAGTCATAGAGGCTGTCAAACCGTCAGTCATATTGTCGGTCAAACTGTCAGTCTTACTCTCAATAAAAAGCTAATTCATAGTGTCTGTCAAACCACAGTCATATTGTCACTCAAACTGTCAGTAATATTCTAATTAAACCGTCAGTCATATTGTCAGTCAAACTGTAAGTCATACACTCACTCAAATCAACAATCATATTGTCACTCAAACTATCAGTCTTATTCTCACTAAAACCATCAGTCATACACTCTCTTAAACTATGAGTCATATTGTCACCCAAACTGTCAGTCTTATTCTCACCCAAACCGACAGTCATATATTCATTCAAATTAGCAGTCATATTGTCACTCAAACTGTCAGTCTTATTCTCACTAAAACCATCAGTCATACACTCTCTTAAACTATGAGTCATATTGTCACCCAAACTCTCAGTTATATTCTAAATAAAACCGTAAGTCATAGAGGCTGTCAAACCGTCAGTCATATTCTAACTAAAAAGCTAATTCATAGTGTCTGTCAAACCATCACTCATATTGTCACTCAAATTGTCAGTCATACACTCACTCAAATCAACAGTCATATTGTCACCCAAACTGTCAGTCTTATTCTAACTAAAACCGTATGTCATAGAGGCTGTCAAACTGTCAGTCATATTCTAACTAAAACCGTAAGTCATAGTGTGTGTCAAACCATCAGTCATATTGTCAGTCAAACTATCAGTCTTACTCTCAATAAAAAGCTAATTCATAGTGTCTCTCAAACCGAAGTCATATTGTCAGTCAAACTATCAGTCTTATCCTAACTAAAAAGCTAATTCATAGTGTGTGTCAAACCGTCAGTCATATTGTCACTCAAACTGTCAGTCTTATTCTAACTAAAACCGTAAGTCATAGTGTGTGTCAAACCGTCAGTCATATTGTCAGTCAAACTGTCAGTTTTACTCTCAATAAAAAGCTAATTCATAGTGTCTGTCAAACCGAAGTCATATTGTCACTCAAACCGTCAGTCATATTGTCATTAAAACGGTCAGTCATACACTCACTCAAATCAACAGTCATATTGTCAGTCAAACTGTCAGTCTTATTCTCACTAAAACCATCAGTCATACACTCTCTTAAACTATGAGTCATATTGTCACCCAAACTCTCAATCATACACTCACTCAAATCAACAGTCATATTGTCTGTCAAACCGTCAGTTATATTGTCAGTCAAACTATCAGTCTTATTCTAACTAAAACCGTAAGTCATAGTGTGTGTCAAACCGTCAGTCATATTGTCAGTCAAACTGTCAGTTTTACTCTCAATAAAAAGCTAATTCATAGTGTCTGTCAAACCGAAGTCATATTGTCACTCAAATTGTCAGTCATACACTCACTCAAATCAACAGTCATATTGTCACCCAAACTGTCAGTCTTATTCTCACTAAAACCATCAGTCATACACTCTCTTAAACTATGAGTCATATTGTCACCCAAACTCTCAATCATACACTCACTCAAATCAACAGTCATATTGTCAGTCAAACCGTCAGTTATATTGTCAGTCAAACTATCAGTCTTATTCTAACTAAAACCGTAAGTCATAGTGTGTGTCAAACCGTCAGTCATATTCTCAGTCATACTGTAGTTCATACTATCACCCAAACTGTTGTTCATACTGTCACTCAAACTCTAAGTCATATTGTCAGTCAAACTGTGAGTCATATTCTCTCTCAAACCTTGAGTTATACTGACAACCAAACCCTCATTCAAAATGTCACTCAAACTGTCAGTTATATTCCTAGACACATTCAAACTTTCAGGCATATTGTCAGCCAGATACTCAGTTATAGAGTCACTTTTTTGTCATTAATGAATTCAGTTATAGATTCAAACATACATTCGGTCCAATATTGGATCATGCAGTTAATTCTACATTTTTTTAACTTGTAAGTCATTATTTATGAAAATATTTAAAATAGTGTAATTGCACAATGATGTGCAGTATTATCTTTAATATTAATATTGTAATATGCAATGTTATATTCTAATTTGAATGTTCCTTTTTAACCTCATGATTTCTTCTCACTGATCTGCCTTTTTATGCAGCATTTTGTATTTAATCTCTCTTATCCTTTAGATTCTCTATGCTTTCCATCTTTCTAAACCAGATTCCATTGTTAATTCTTAAATTAACACAAATCTTAAATTTCATATTAGTCATTGATCTGAAGTTATTGAAACATCTGACGTCTTTAGATTATCTTATCTAATATTAAAATGATTGATCTATTTACATTTTTAAAATAGTCCTAAAAAGTCTCAATATTTATAAAAGCATAATAAAATTAAATTTTTTAATATCATTTTGTAAATTATTCGTTTACTTTATGGCATAGTCTTGAAAAAGTATCAAAAACATTATCTTAATGGTCTCTAAAGAGGTTAAGTAGCATACACACAGATATGCTAATGTGGTAAAAAGAGATTTATTGCAAAAAGTCCAAAATAGTATATTTATTATCAAGATTTGCGTGGAAACGTACGAGTTTGGGACGAATAACTAACATTCTTAAACATTTAGTAATACTCTGATAAGTACAAGTCCTTCGATGCGACATATGGCTTCTTTTGTTCTAACTTACCAAATTCAAGAACTCAAGTTGGCAGTAACTCTGTACTAAACATACTCTAAGAGCTTGTCATTATTCCGTGTATGACAAATCATACTTTAATGTTTTACTCGTTGAATAAAGAATGCTTGATTTTGAAATCGAATGTTTTTGCTTAAATAGTTCCAGATTCTTGAACTAGGGACGGAATTAGAGGACACGTCTTTGCTGGTTAGTCGCGTGCTTGATGACAATATGCTACAATTATAATAAACGTACAAAAGGGACGAAAATTGAGAGCTTGTAACTTTCAACCATTAGCAAAAAATGTTAAATGTTAACACTCAGTCCATTTGAATATGAAAAATAAAATTGACTTTGATTAAATGTTTTTATTTATCATGCAATTCTTCTTGCGACCAAAGATTTAAATAAAATTTCAAAAAATAAGATAGCTTAAAAAATAATATACGGTAGTGTTTACTAATAGATGAATAGTATATAAATTCTATTAAAATGGATTTG